AAAGTAGTCGGTTAAAATAAGGCTAGGACGCTTCCGGTAAACATCCCCGAAAACCGGATGGCCTTTTACTACCTGCCTTTTACCGGTTGGGATAGCAAGATTTAGTCGGTAGATATCGAACGCTCATTTTTGGGAATAGTGCAAAAGTTCTGTCAGAAACAGAAGTACGATTGTTCGTACTAACGCGCCTAAATGTGTCATTTTGCCGTGTTAAAAATAGATTCCTTTTATTATGTTAACATTTTACGTTCCTTAGATGAAATAGACGAGAAACATCAGAACGACAAAACAAATACTTGGTCTTTAGTAAAAATCATTCATTAGTGTCATTTTTATCTATCTGATACAGTATAGTATTATAATAGGCGTATTTTACGTCAGAAATACCCGCATATTCTTGTCAAATGTTACATAATTTGAATATTCAAGTTCATCTATATTTCATCAGTACTCATGTGTATCCCTTTCAGCATCATGTCTTCCATGATTGCATAATTACCTGTAATAATTAATGACCTAAACGTACCGTGGCCGTTTCTAAAGCCATACTGAAGAGTATTGATAAAATTTTCGCACATGTAGAGGATAGCTAAGCGTAAACTCGAACTCCAGAAGTATTACATCAGAAGCAGTGACTCGATCCAAACGCTTTGATGTTTCCAACGGGTGATATACTTTCAAATCAACAACTGTTAAACATTGGGAAAGAACCTCTGTTTAACCTGTGGTCTATATGATTATCTACTATATTGGTTAGCCCTTCCTTTCTGACCAATTGCTCCCTTTGTGCTTGCGTGAGAACCGCAATCATCATTATCAGCATGAACGAACGTTAGTCGTGTCCATTGCCTCAGCGACATCCAAGTTCAATATTATTGTTTACGCTGTTGATACGGCGTAGCTCCCGCAGCGTCAAGCACCGTTCAGCGTTGTCAAGCTTGCCACCGAGGACTAAGCAGAGATATTTCTGATTTCAGCAAGAATAGCCGGATAACGAACATTACTAGTTTATCGACAACAGCTGCCGCACGGTCGCCAATAGGCGAAAGGGCGCATCTGAAAGAGTTGATAACGCTTTAACTGATGCTACTGTAACAAACGTGGATCTTCTACGAGTGGTATGTCTGCAAAGTCGTTCGTATACCACATCCGCAATGCAAAATCCGTTCCCTGCCTGCTTGGATGCCCAGCTCTCCAGGTACACTCTCGACACCCCAATATGTCGGCGAACGCATCGTTGGATCGCCCTGTGCTGTCTGGAGAACGAAGCTGATGACTGGCTGCCCACCTGGATCTGTACTGGAGACGTAGCGCTGATGTTCCATTATGCAATCAGTGCGGGCACATAATACCGAAGATTTTTACCCTTCTGGGAATACCGTTTTCACCTTTTTACATTAATAGTCATGGCAGTAGCGGCGGCGCTGTCTCATCGCCGCCACACGACAATTCCATGTGGTGGGATTGCTATATTGCATGCCAACAATGCTGATGTTGGCAAGAGCGCCGGACCGGCGACGTTTCGCTTCTCGTGTGCGTGCTGATTCGCACGATCCATTGATTGTTTATAATAAGGATTCAAGGTATAATGTGCTTAAAGATTAGGTTTATAATATTATCTCATTTTATTGACACATATAGTTTATCGCATCATTGATATGGCATTACTCTGATTATTGTCCTTATTTTCCATTTTTCTAACAACGTAATTGTAAGTGAAACCTGTGGGGTGGAGTAATCACTGACTGACTTGGGATTAGGGGAATGTTTTGCTTGCCGGCGTAACAAATATGGTCTTGTGGCTTTGGAGCGTCCTACGAAAAAGTGAACATCAGCTGGGTTTCTGTCACAGCGATAGCTACACTCATGTGTTGCTATTACCTTTGATTTGACGTAAGTTCTTGCCATACAATGCTTCACCGCAAGCTGACGGTTCTGGGGGCATCCCGGTCAAATAAGGAAAACTGAAATATCGGCTTCACAACTCTGAAGACTTGTTTTGTGAAACGCACCTGGGGCTCAGGGATACGAAAGTTATTAGTGAGCGGGTAGTTGCATATGTCTCATAGCTAAATGCAGGCATTCAAGTTCGATTTTTTTCAAGTTATGCAACCAATACCTTCGTCGATAGTCACCTCTTTATTCGTTGTGAAGAAAGTAGAGAAAAGTAAAGTGCGTTAGTCGAACTTTTATCTGCTCGTAAATCCATCTGGAAATATGGTTTGGCGAGAATCTGAAAGAAGACTCGATCTTTGGATCCGGATTATGGCTGCAACGGTGCAGTGTCACGTGATAGCGGCTGACGACGCTGAGCGCGCGCACACTGAACCTGTACTGATTAGATATATATAAATTTACAGCTTGTCATCATGTTATCAATATTCAGAGTCGAGGATCTGTCTTCTATCTCGTCAGACCAAGGTGATGCCCTCATGGGCGCTACTCATGCATAATCATTCGAATGAAATCCTTAAGCACTAATTATTACGCATATACGGAGTACTTTATCATGCTCTTCACCAGTCTAGTGGTTCACTACCGACAGATTTCGCCACCGTCCAATGCGCTATTCACCAGAATAGTACGTTTCATATACTCCGCTTTGATCTTGGACAAAAGAATTGATATGGACAGGGCAGTGCAGATGACAATCTAAACCTTGTTACATGGATATTTGAGAATCGTTTCGAGTACGACACCTAAACGATAACATAATAAATTTTTATTTCTAATAAAGAAATAAAAATTTATTATGCAAAATCAAATGCATAAGTATACCTGAAGGTCTACATAATAAGATCATTCAGGCGTAGTCCACTGGAATAGAGTGTGTCAATGCATCTGTTTCAAGTGATTCTGTTTCTAGAATACGAAGATCAGAATCAATAATCTCTGAGCACGGAAATCACGCACATGTCTTCCCTCACATTTGCAGCTTGCGTTTCTGTGTTCGTTATCAGATTTTTCTTCAGGCGAAGCTTTAAGTTTCGAGAGATTTTCCAGCAAACTCGACCATTCGACATTTTATGAAGTTCATAGCAGAAAAACACTTTTTTCTTCCCTAGAAGACATTCTTCTCTCACATTGCATTTGATACATACCGAATTGAGCTTCCAGTACTGAAAATAACAGAATATGTATAAATCAAGGCTAACATGCGGTTCTGATAGGCTGCGCTCGGCTTATGTCTTATACGTCAAATTCAAGTATGGTATGTATATGTAACATTCGACAAGATAGACTACCCATTTTAAAAAGATACCAGCCATTTTTATGTAAACCGCCTTAAAACATTACTAAACACATCCTGGATGCTGCGTGGCTTACTTTTTGTCGTGACAACGTCTGACAGACGGTGGTACCTATAGGGAACGATGAGAGGTATGCTTGACGATGTTTTGAAAATATAATACAATATGAAAGCTCTATTTTTAAAAGAGTATTCCTTAGACAAATAGACAAAAATAAATTATTTGTATGTTCCATACACATTATTATCTGTTTTCGTCCGTACTTCCCACTGCAAAAACAATTAACCCTACACATTAATCAACACAAGTCCTAAGGAATAGTAAACCAGAGTTGGTACATAAGCGGTACGCCAGAGCATATCGCATAGTCTTGAAACAGATCTATGGTTCTTACGTCTATCTGCGATCCAATGGTTCTCAGACATTATCTAGAGCATGCCCATCCCTGGTCAGATATGGAAGCTACGCGAGGTTACAGTACAGGCATTTGGAGATAGCAAAGTTCAACTTTGAATTCACAAGTTTGAATTTTTAGGCGCTTGGTTGTAGAGCATCGAGGCATCGTGATACGTACCCTATGTGCCGATTCAACCAGGTAGGTTGTAGTGATGATGATAGTGATGTCGAGATTCTAACTGGTTCCAACTCCAGAGTTGAAAACTGTTCAGCCGCAAAAATGGTGTTACTGTTGGGTCCTTAAATCGTAACAAAACGATACGAAGTATCCCCATTAATTCCAACCCAAAATTCTGTTCTTGAAAACGACATGCTGCTACGCCGAACTACGTATTATTGAACCTCAGCAGTATATAGCACATGACAGAGTGAAGTAAATGGTTTAGGCCCGACGCTCACTCCACCCCATGAGTTTTACCAGCGGTGCTCGATTCTCGAGTTAGAATTTTAAGCTGCTTTCTGCCTTCAATAAACGCGGGCTTACTGCGCGGGCCTAACCTTCTTAACCTTGGAAAAATATTTCCTGCAGACATTTCAATCAATAAATGATACTTGGCATGGGGTAAATAGTTCGATCCGACTCAGAATTTACAAATTGTGGAATGTCCACAGTATCTTTCAGGTGTGATCAGGAATGACAGATTTAGCTAGAGGGGTATAATTATTCAGTAAGATATTCTGGATAATCGTTAGCGCGTAATATCTTCATTATCTGTTTTCTGAACCATCGTCCTCCGCACCTATTCCTTAGGGCATCAAATAATGCGACTGCTTCTTCGTCATTATCGCGAATCGATAATGATCACACGCATCGACGCTGTCCCATACATTAAACATCAGTTCATAGGAAAGCCATGCGGTATTATCGGTACGTGCGGAGGGAATATCAGATTTGACCATCGTCTTCTGTAAACTCCCTGTGAAACCCCATAGACGAGAGGGAGGGAGCTAGCGAGCCTAGCTGGGATTTGGATCCGGTTGAACAAGAAGGTAAGGGCGATTCCTGCGACAACAAGAGCCATGAGCTGTAGTAGGGAGGGGGGGAGCGAATTTCGCGCGCCGAAAATTTGCTTCGCCTCCCGCCCGCGACAGCGTTAAGCGTCGGCCGAGCGGCACAATGTCTGCTTGGACGCGCGACCGTGATCAACGACAGAGAGGGTCGCTGGGGCTATCACGATGTCCGCTGCTACCGCCGCCGTAGGAGAGCTGCTACAGCTGGATGTTGGCTTAGAATGCCCGTACTGGTGCCTGAAAACCAATCCGGTTCGCGTATATTATAAATAGCGCACGAACATACCGGCATTTGACGATGTCTGCCTATTTGGAACAGTGAAAAGAGAAAGAATAAGAAAGATTACGAAAACGAGCCGTCCGTTACGATTTGTGCTACACGATTGTGGATAATCTCAACCTGCTCAAGAAAGAGGACAAGCGCGAGCAGCACTTATGAGCAAAGGAACCATGCGTAGCCTTTCTGTGACTCCTCTGCTGGGGGCGGCCGCAGTTGCGATACTCTGTGCGACGTCAGCCTGGGCAGGTGACCACGGCTGGGATCACCACGGTTGGATCGAGCCCAAACTCACTGTGGTTGTAAAGAAGATTCCTAAACTGATTCCTGTCCCGCACCCTGTTCCTGTGCCACAAATTGTGCACGTCCCGAAAAAGGTTCCGGTCTACAAGCCTGTGCCAGTGCCCAAGCCGTATCCCGTACCCCAGATCATTCACGAATATTACCCGGTACACAAAGTGGTACCCATTCCCAAGGAGGTGCCAGTTCCCGTCAAGGTTCCAGTCAAGAAGCCCTATCCCGTGCCCCACATCGTCAAGGTTCCCAAGCCTTATGTTGTTCACGTGCCTAAGCCTTACATCGTTCACAAGCCAGTACCCTACCCAGTTGAGGTGAAGGTTCCCAAGCCCTACCTCGTTCACATCCACAAACACGTACCAGTTCCCGTAACCAAGCACATTCCCGTTGAGGTGCCTATTGTGAAGGAGCATCCCGTCGTGGTGAAGAAGCCTATTCCTATTCTCCTCGAGGCGAAGGGCTGGGACAAGAAGAAAAGTGCTTGATTATTGAATCGAGAAAATAATTCGCTGAGGCGCGACCCAAACCATTAATAGAATCAACTTTCGCGAAAAACACATCGTGATAGGCTCATCTTAGGTGTTTAGTTTCACCAGTTGTGGTTGAGTTCGAGCGATTCAGATGCTGGTGATACCGTCAAGATGACCACCGAAAATTGTGTGCATGGGTCATTTTAATAAATACTCTCCCGTAATATTTATGTACATACAGAAACAGACCAACATACAAAAATACTTATATAAAAACAAACACATATATGCGCTGTAGAAGTCGTACGTCACTGTATATAATGTTTGTGAATAAATGTTTCTCTAAAATCTAATTTAATTGTTTAACAATGAAACTTGGTGTATTTACTTACGATGGCGGCCGCAGGTCAAACGAAGGTATGTGACTGGAAAAATGTTTGTTATAGCCATCGCTACTTCATAGCATTACGTCCTAAATAACGTATGTCGACCCCGTGAAGTCCGTCATACCAGATGGCCGGAAAACTAAGAATCCTCTCATTTTACCAATTTTAATTGCCTAGATCGAATCGCAGTGAGCGTTGTTCTCCCATAATAAGGTCAGCATGTAGAAGCTTTAGGGTACTGCTTATGGAATCACGTAAACTAAATGTTTTCTCTCAGTGGTAACGAAATCAGACATTTATTTCCGCTTAGCATCCTCGTAAGGCATAAAAGCCGGGTGTTTTAAGTGGAGATCGTTGACCGTACCGGAGTGGCAGTAGCTTTCCTAAGAACAGATGTAGCGTGGGTGCGTGACTTGGCGAGCATTACATAGGCAAGGGAACTCGCTGCGATCCCTAACTGAGAACTAGTTTTTGATCTTGAGGCCCTGACGTGTTCTTTATTTTGTGCTCACATAGGCTCCGTGCACCCTAGTTACAAATATTATCGGAAATAAAAGAGCGATCTTGCCAGTTGAACAAGCTTGAATAGGAATGGCATTACTCCATTGTAGTCATAATTACAGTGCTTAAGCAACACCACAATCTAAAGAGAATCTGTTGTTGCTAATGAGACGCTACCTGTGCACCAGCAGTAGCTTTTCTATGGGTTAGACTAAAAAAATAACAAAATAGAGGATAACTACATAATAAGCTGGGTGTCTCTGGGTGTATGCGTAGCTAGAAATGGCACATATCCACGTTTAGAGGCGGACAAAAGCTATACGACTAAGACTAAAAAGTATTAAGTAACACGCACTTGAATGGATAACATAGTTTTCACTCGAAATTGTCTTTTACATTGCCATCGATGAACTTAAAGCGAAGATCAAGTGGAGAGTTTTCGTAGTTTTCACAGTTGAATATCGAAATCCAAATTTAGAACGGCGGAGGGACGTAGGTAAAACTGCGTGCCAGGCTAAGGCACGCTTTTGTCCGTTTTCGTCCGGAGTGTTTTGACGAATGGACAAAATTTCACTCACCCATAATGTTAAAGAATACGCTTACAATTGATATTCAGAGCATACGTAATAAATGAAAAAATTATTACACTGTGTCATTACCACTCGTTACGGTTATTTCGATTTATATTGCAAAGTCTATAGTAAAATGTGCTCGGAACGAACCCGTTACGGATCGGTGCGCGTGTGGGATTTACATCTATATACACACATATATATATATATATATATATATATATATATGCATATTCTGTCCAGTTTTTGACACCAACTCAACTCCCAGTTGGCAAAATGGGAGCCCATCTCATTTGTAACCTGCCCCATTTTCAACTCGCGTACCTATTCCTGTAGGATCGACATTTTTTAAGTTATCATAGGCTTCCTCGTATTTTTTTTTACCTGTGTTTGGACTTCACTAGTGTATGCTCAATAGAAGTTCGAGTACTGCAGAGAATTCGATAATTTCTTTTCCAAGGGTCGCATGCATGTTGCCCAATTTAAGTTGAAAGAAAATATCTGCTATTGTATTACCTGTTGCTATTGTTATAATGGGAGCAACAAAGTTGGCCGCGGCTAAATTTTATGGAACTTTTCGATCTATTTCTAATTAAATAAGAGAAACGAAATTAATTTATTCGGAAATTTTCAAAAATATACACCATTTACTAAATTTGGAAAAATTTAAACTTTTTAATACTTTTATTAGATTTCATCACAATTACGAGAAGATTATTGTTCAGAGTGTCAAATGCCAAAAAAACGTAAAAAACCGAATTCTCAGCAATAATTACGTTGTTTCCAACATTCGCGTTGTGCATAACCTGTATATATAAAAGGTGTATCTATGTTGAATGCTCTGTCGCAACCGTCGGCTTTTAATAGCTACAGAGACGCAGTCAAAGCAAAACGCTACTCCTGTCTCTTCTTTTTGAAAAAAAGCTTATCTTTGTTCTTCTAAGAAGCTAACAAGGAATCCACCTTCATTGTTTGTGTTACCTGTTCCTAACTGAACCGTGAAGCCGGCGTCTGGCGCAACAAAACGTTATGCAATTAAACACTAAAAAGCTAAAAAGACTTTTCCTTTTTTCTCATCTGTTTCCTTGATGAGCCCATTCGGATAATGATCAAACCAAATTAAAAGATTGAAAGGTAGTACGTAAGTGAGATATTCTGAGTCAATGGCAAAACACACTTAAGGCATAGTTTTATGTACAGTGCGTTATTATTGTGGTATGCTCTGATATTGGCTGATTTACAGAATTAGAGAGCGGCCTTTATTTTAATTTGGTATTTTCTGGGTCGCTTAGCTGGCCATTCCGGGTACCAACGCGTTCAATTAAAAAAAAAATAGCATACGGCGTTCATTTTCGTTTTGGCCATTGCTTGGTGTGTTGACATACTGTTGTATTACACGTCTAATAACTAGTACAAATAGTAATATAGTGGTTAGTACAGGCGTAATTAGTGCCAGAAACAAACAACTACGACCGAAAAAAGAATGCGAGTCTTGAATCTGAGTCTGAAACAGAGACTGTTTAATAGTTTTTAAAAATTATAAGTACTATAATTTATTATGTCGTTTTGAAGGAGACCATATTTACCGCTTTATGTTGTTACATTTCACGAACGAAACTGCAAAGGGAACGACCAACGACATGCCAAACATGGCTTGAAAAGAATAACTAAAAGCTGTCCACCATTCAAACAACAAATAAAGCAACTGGCCGTTGTCCTACCCGTCGCTACCAATTGATTCCTATTAGAGAGAAGATCCAGCATAAATTACAAGACTTATTACTTGAAATCTGAGTTTCGCCTTTGTTTTTAAAACATGGCCATTCAGGTCCTATGCTAATGATAATGTGCTAACTATAGAATTAGTGCTACTCCGTTTTGAAAGTCTTTCAACCGGCTTTGAGGCGATTTAATTCTGAAATTTAGCTCACCAGTTTCAGTAGAAGCTTTCCAATCAGTATTCGAAATCGGCCATGGCGACACCTTTAAATAAAGACCGCTTAAAGACAAATCAACCAGTTTCCCGGGTAGTTCTCTGCATTACAAAGATATAACAAGCTCAGGGAAAAAAAACATTTGAAACCTAATTCGATCGAAACCAAGTAAACTAACATTTTGTCTTCTAAGATCACGTATCTTTTTTTTCTCGTAGACTACAGGAGACTTTTTTCAATCACTATAGATGAAAAATACCAATTTTTTCTCGTCCGTTTTACATCTGCCCCCAAAAAACATGGCCTTTTTCGTACTTTGACCATTTTCCAAATTAATAATACCTTGTTTCGTATAATTTAGTGGTAAGTGAAATTTCCCACAAGCTTATATTCTTATAGCCTTGATCCGATAAGGTCTTGAGTGAACCGTGCAGAATAAAATTTCTGAAAGATGCACCAAGTGACACGAAGGCCTTGTTCCGATGATAACACATAGCAACGATTTTAAATAGGAAAAAAAAAGGCCAAGATGATCTACACATCAACTATTCGAAGAGAACAGCTACTAGATATCAATTGTTACGACGGTGCTGTCTCAAATTTGGTCTCAAATCTGTATTTAAGGCAGGGCGATACAGACGACTTTTCCGTAAGGTTCTGCTGTGCGGAAAACGCCACACCGTTGTCAAAGACTTACATGATCCCATGCAACAGGGAAGGGTATGTTTTAGCACCGTCTATATACATGGACTGCGCCAATGCAGTCTCATTCTTCGGCGCCCGGCACCTAGTCACCTCTTCGCTGGTCTTCAACGTTCCAATTTCCATCCTTAAAACATTTGCACCAGTCGTGCATTGTGTTTTCGCTTAAGGTCTTTGTGCCTATTGTCTTCACCGATATTCGGTAAGTTTCCGGAATGTTGTGAGCAAAAAATTCTGATTAAAAAATGTTTTTTTTTTTATCTGCAATTAACTAACCCGATTCTTACTGAAGAAAACTGGAGTATTTACCAACCGAATGTCGTCTTCGTAATTCGTAACGTTTCACCCATAACATCCTAATGATAAAGTAGCTGTAGGAGAGCATGATACCTTTGACGTTTTGATGTCAAAAGATTTTGAATGAAATAAGCTAATGATAATTGAGTGTTAAACATGTATCGATAAAGAAGTAGACTACGACCGAGTATTTATAAATTTTAGAAGCTGTCAAAGAGTACTGCAGACGATCACCGAATCGCTGAATGATTGAGACAGGTGTGAATTTGTGGTTGACCGCCAAAATGGAATTAATCAGATACCGATTACTCTGCCGGACACGAGCAGAAGTTGTCAAAAAACGCTGCTCACTTAGAGTCATTCGGTGGGAAAATAACTTTATTTGAAATCCAACATCTAAAGGGAAACAAAGTTCAGCGTTAGGCAAGAACTTACATTATCGTTAGCCCCTATTTAACTTGTACACGTATTTGACAAATAAATGATAACGATGCTTCCTTTAGTGTCCAATGCATCATCATTATATAGCGCCTAGAAGGCAACTATATAAATAGTCGATTTCCATTTTTCCGGAACGATTCCAACAGTACTATCGATCAACTATATCTCTTCACCTTATAATTTCTATTTTTATTATATCGTATAAAATATAGTCAAATACTACAATCATGTTTCAGGCTTGTTTTATTTCCAGTGGCAGCCGCTCTGGCGAAAGTCAAGCGGACGTCTGCTTTGTGGAAAGGAAGACATACTCGTCTGCATACATATGAGCTGTATTGTACGTTTTTTCGCGGTGAATTGAAAGCCTGTTTACATTGTATTTGATTTTCTATGAAAGTCAATTTCCATTTATTTATATAGCACTACAACAATTATTATCTGTCATTCTTTACGCAAACTGTTTGCATCGGTTAGTCTATGACCTGACGGCAGAACTCGGTTGTAGTACATCTTCAAGCCTGACTCAAAGGAAACCACGAAAATGCTAGCTTCCTGAGAAATTCTAGTAAGCTAAAAGTCAAATGACGATTCTCTAATTGGGATCTGCGTAGGTCCGAGCATACTACCCTTACTAGCTATTAACAGGCACAATTTTCACCGCTCTTAATTATCCGCATATCTAACATTGGCGTCTTTGTCACATTTGTTTTTTCGTGACTGAAAGCAGCCCTTGCTATTTTTTTTAACGGAGAACAGAACTCAGTCACCAAAGTGACGTGATGAGGAAGCCTATCGTGTATTCTTAGACGCCTTTCGGATTTAACAATCTTGGCATCTGGTACAACATAAACTCAAACAGAGTCTTCCCTCTCGCTGGTGCCTTTGACGCGAGTTTTCGATAATGACTGGGGTAAGTTAGAAAACTAGGCGTTAGTTCATAGCTTATGATGCTCTAAACCAGTATCACGTATATAGTGTTTCAGGGAACGTTGTGCAGTACACTTTAGCCTTTTATTTATTGTTATCTGGTAATGATTTTTAGGGGAAAAATGCGGTCCAAGTTTTTTCTGCGTCACCCTGCTCACATGTGAAACAGTAAGGTTATGCGGTGGTCATTTTTATTTTGGCTATTTATTTCTATAGGCTATTATTAATACTATTGCACAAACCTGCCATTCGAAAATATGACCGTCACACTGAGCCAAAACAGCGATTCGGAACTAAATGAACGCAAGCTAGATACTAAATCATGTGGAAAATTATTTAAACAGTTCATTTGTAGACCTTCATAAATTATAGCTACAATTTTATAGTTTTTGACCAAGGATGTCGAAATATTTGCTTACCGTGCTAGTTATCTATAACAAAATGGTGAAAGAGAGACCGATGCTTTATGCGTAGTCAAAAAGGTAACAAATCTCACGTATTGTTTCACGTATTTTACGTTTTAGGGCGAACATGATGTTCTCGCGGATCTAAGCGTTGTTTGTTTCTGATACACGCACTTTGTACTGGATACAGATAATGTCCAGTATATTCGAGTCTCGATTGGTAACCCCTGCCGTCCAGTGGTAATTGGCCTTCATTTGCTTCAGCACTCTGAAAGAGTATTTAAGAAAACGATAGGACTATCGAAGATTTACTGTAGGCAGCATTCAGAGATTATACGGCAAAAAATACGATCTAGATGCAGAATTATAAAAGAAAATTCCGATTTGTTTATTACATGTCTTTTGTTTTTTTTTTAGACAAGGCATCATGGATGGTTTTTTTGATGAAGCTTTGCGATGTGTGAAACGCAGTCGAACTCTGTAAGAAAATGTGAACCTTTTAGAACTAGGCATGATTGATACACAGGACGCTTATCTCTACGGTGTAAGTACACTTTCTAAGACTTTCCTGTTTCATCTGTATTCGATAAACTATGTCTACTTCAAGAAAACTTCAGATTCGAATCCTGTTTGAATTCGCACAGATGTATTGCCAAGTTAACTACATGGGTCATATTAAATTATCGCTAGTTATCATAATTAGTTAAGCTTCTTAAGTAACATAAGTACTGCTCATATCCTTTAAGTTTTCACATATACTATAAATTACAACTTAACTCCAATCAATCGAACTTTAAGCTAAGAATTGGTGCTATTTAGGTACACGGTACTATCCGTGGTATCGTATACCATACATGCCCATTATTTCGATACTCGTACTATTAAACGCATGAGCGGTAAAAGATTGCCATCGTGGCTTCCTCCGTGTTATCTATCTACAGTACGTATTTTGCAGGTGGATGTATTTTTTTTTTTATACAGCTGTTAAACTTTGTTCGCGTCAACTTTATTGCAATGGCGGATATAATAGCGAAGTTATCTCCAAATTTTGGATCAAATCTATAAGTCAGGCGGTATACAGCATACGGCCCGATACAACTTCGGCGGAAAGTCTATCTTCTCTCACAAGAAACAGACCCAGGATTTTGGGACTGATAAGCTTTCACAAAAAATCGAATTTAATGGTTCAGTGATAGCGTTTGTGTCTATATGATTTTTACTGTGCAGGGTGTTTATTGCAAAGGAAGTCCTCACAAACACCTTCTCATTGCGACTACCTTTGTTCACCAATTAATGTGAGATTACTCAGGATTTACAGTTCGTTTCGGCACTTATTACAGACTATGCAGAAATTAGTTAATATCATGCAGACGTTTCGAGATTAATTTCGAAGTATGGAACGGTCAATCTTAATTCTATAAGCTGTTTCGTATTTACTGGGGCGTTGAAGTCGCTTTTAACATTCACTCATTCACTGATCCATTTAAAAGCTTGATACCAATATTTCTGACAGCATTTAAATTCGGCCCAATTTGAGCCCTGCTATGTCAGATCAATAAAAGTGTCAAAAAAAAAGAATCATAGATCCAGAGCTAAAGTGGTGCTAGTGGTGAATTATTAGTATTTAGATTAACGGCTATAACTATAATATAAAGGCAGGTTCGTAAAAGCAAACGAAGATTTCTTCCAAAAAATGCCACTTTTTTTTTGCAATTATGCCATAAGGCGCCAGTATCGTCTTTAGCACTAAAAAATTATAAAATAATCGCATATGTTGACAAATTATATCAACGATCAAAATGGAAAAGATACCATTTTTGTAAAAATTTAAATTAAGGCTGGCAGATGAATGAATGGTGAATTGTTCGTTTACGAAGCTTTATTAAGGACCCTTGGTGTGGCTTCTTAAAGTTGTATGTTGCTTAACTAACTTCTTGTGTACCTCAGCAGTTTTGTTAAACTTGCAGCAGTTACTTCCGATATAATTAAAAAAGGGGTTAGAAATATTTAAAAGAAGTTGTTTACTTATTCACTTCATAATCGATAAACGCTTTATTACCTTTCAAAGTGTAATATTTTATTAAAAGAACAATAGCGCTTCAGTGGTCCTCAATGAGAGAACTTCTTCAAAGATGACAAAAGCAGTACTCAAAGTATTACCCATTTGCTGTCGCTCAGGCAAGTCGCACAAAAGAGTCTGATAAGTAGGTTTCAGGCCCTGGGTAACATACATAGATGTATGGACATTTACCACTAATCAGCACAGCAAAAAGCGTGTGAAAAATTAACAAAAGCCCGAGCAGAGTTATTCGCAACAATCAATGCCAAAAAGCAAAAAGTTATAAGTTATAAGCCAACTTACATGCCTTCACTTAGATTAGCTAAAGTAAAATTAAGAGATATTCCGATATTTCTTATAGTCTGACTTGTGCATATACCATCAAGAACAGCATTTGCATCCACGAAAGGGCATTTGACTGATCAGTGTCCTTACTAGGCCAAAGGTGTTTTTGCTAGGCCAAAGAAGGGAAACTGCTGAGTGAGCTCTACCCAAGCTATTTTCGTTCTCGTAAATCTTCTTGCCACGACGGAACAAAAATTCTAGGCACACGCTAAACCATTATATTTCCATGTTGTTTATATTGTTCGACTGTCGTCACTATGATCACAGGAAGCACAAAGCCGCACAAATGATGTTTGCCTCATGCGAAATAAAGAGCCGTCCGAAAAAGGACAACGTACATTATTTTTCAATATGAAATTACAAAGCGCGTAAACTCACGATAGCAGCATGCATAGGAAAGAATAAGTTACTCTGTACATAGAAGTTAACAGAGCGCATATTTATTTTAGTTCTTTTATAAGTCCCTAACTCGCCGCTATATTCTAAGTTCTATAAAAGTGTACATCAAGATTTATCTTGTATCCTGATTTTACGGAGACTTGGCTAAAGCAATCGATTGAAGAAAAGCTTCATGACAGTAACATACAGACAGACGCTATACGGATATTGCATAACAACTCCAACGTAACACTCTACTACGGAGTGCTGAAATTCAGGCAAAACACATATATACGTAGGCGTATATAAAACAGGGGCGACCCAAAGCTTAACCGTCTTTGCTCCAGACTGTTTAGAAACTACATAGCTTTAAATAATAGCAAAATTTACGATCTATCTAAAAGCCGGCAGAAAGCTAGGCTACGGTAAAATTAGTTTTGTGCCCTGTGTCAGACACAATAGTCCATTACGTTCACTTCCATCTGTAGTAGCCCCCGATTACTTTATTTTTCTCTAATAGCTTGCCCATTGGCTTACGTGTATTCTGCTTTTTTTATAGAATAAATATTGGTTTGTTGCACAGATATTTCTATGAACATGAACAATGATAATAATATATAACATTTGTTGGTTTGGTAGGCTGTCTTTAAACGACAGATATCAAACTGCAACTTACCCAGTTAATTGCCCTGACAAAAGGAACGATGCCTACGCATAGGCCAATTCGCAAAATACTAATCAGGATCATTGGCGATCGAAACATATGTCAGGCTTAAAGGCACATGCTGATATCCCACACGCATTTGGTGTCGGCAAATAGGAACCTTAACTATATGTCTGGCGACAAAATTTCCTAACCTTTTTAAAGGGTATGAACCTGAAATGTTATTTAATTATGCATGTATATACATAGGGAACTCTTCGTGGAATACGCGCGCAAGTAGTTTTTGGTCTAAACCACCAGTGTGCTTAAGTAGTTAACGGCTGGATACGTACAGATGTCATCAAAGATAAAGAACGCGCTGGACCTAAAAGGTAGTTTTATATATTTTGTGTTTGCACTGATTTGTTACTGTGGTAATAGGGCAGCCACAGAAGGGGCAACGATGTTAATGGACAAATGGTTAATTTCCATTTAGGTTGCTGAATAGTGATAGACATAAAAATTGTATTATATAAAGTTCGAAAAACTTTTGTCCCCCTTTCCTTGAGCATATAAGTGTGTCTCATATAAACTGCTACAATATCACAAAAGCTAGCTGCATTGGAGTACATAAACGAGTGCCCGCGACTCGAATTTTTTAACTAATTTTAATAAACACATAGATAATACATACGTTCGTAAGATTATATAAAGTGGTCGAAGGAAAAATGTCTATTTGAGCCTCGTCAGCCATGTACGATGTGAAAAAAAAAAACATTTTTTTGTTAAGGAGCACGTTTAGGCAGCTAAAAAACAAGTAACAAATTTGCCGTCATAAGCGGAATGGGGTTCTCCTGTTTCTCCAACATTTCCTATCATTTTACCCAGTATCGACCAATAAAAAGTTCGAACACCTCGCGCAAATTTGAAGGTTACCTGTGTTGAACACGAGGGTGGGCACTTAGTTCAGATTTCTGTTCAGGTGTACCGTACTGCGATTAAGAGCTTTGTCATTACAAAGAGGCGTATACCTCAGTCCCCATTTAGTCCAATACACTTGAATTTATTCCCTAATGCTACTGTCGTCTCCTAGGTAAAATAGGCTTAAGCAGTGCCTATGATTTAAAGCAAGCAGAATGCAAAGCATTATCGCTATTGCGACGTATCAAGTCATTATTGGGCATTACTTTATGAAAACGAGAACTTTTCTAATTCTCAGTGTTGTTTATAAGTGGGACGGGTCGATTCCGACGTTTTTTTTGTTGCCATTAGATGAGCTGAAGTAATGTTCCTATCGATGCACTAATTAGTATACACTATTCCACCTTATTTGGCCATACTTAGTAACTTAGAGGGGGAGTGTTTACCCAAGAATAACTCAAATGACTATTTCTACTAACTAAATTGCGACTCATCATCATGCTCCTAAAGACAGCCAGTGTTAGTAATCTAGGACAACGCCGACTTCCTATACCATTATGATGGCTTGGTGAAGTCCATGCGAATGTGCACCCCATTAAAATATCTCAATCAAATAAGGCTAGTAAATGTTTTCCCTTTGGTATCACCGCTAAGCATTGCTTTGAGCGGCTGGCTTTTTCGGCCAGTCATGCTTACTTACATAACGGCACGACTGGAACAATCATGTCATTTAAACTGTTGCCGAGGGCCTAAACTCCTGGCCAATCTCATAAATTCTCTCTGATTGCGTGAATTAAAAAGAAAAATCAAGTACAGTGTTCCTTCCATTTCTCTCGGTTCAGGTCAAAGAATAAACCTGATTAACCCAAAGTGATGGCGGGAGGGAAAAAGAGCTGTGAACAAGTTTTTAGCAAGCCTTCCTGTGTGACGCTTGAATTCATGCCTTAACTATGGTGGCATGCTCAGTATTCCTAGAAGACCTCGAAAAAACTTCTGCAAAGAAAGGTATGGGCGTTGTTAATTTCCAGACTGTCTTTAGAATAAGAACACTCGAAAGACTGGCGTGTCTGAGAGTTCCATTAGTGTAAGCATTCTGAATATGCTAAAAATTCTACTACAGATCAACACTACAATGCCAGAACGTGAACTATCTTACAAACTATTATGGTTTCGTCCATGATTAAAACGTCAGTTCTCATTTTTATCGCTCGTTCATTTTCAAGCTTCTGCAGCGCAGAAAATGTAAGCATCGCTAGTAAACGTCACAATGCATACAGATGACCTTGCTGTATAGAACAATAGTCGCCGCCAGGTCCTACCCGCCTTCCACCACTTACGTCTCCAACATAAAATTGAATATTTATTGAACGATGAAAGCAATAATGAAGGATGAAATTCTCTCGACAAAATCGGATACGTTTCCAATCAACAGACGATTTCTAGGTTATGTAAGCCCACGTAATTGGGCATCACGTTGATATCAATCATTTGGGTCGCATACCTAAAAAGGGGTGAATACGGCACTAGTTTAAGCAACATCAATAGGCAGGCCGCAGAGCCCATTACTAAAAACTTCGTTAGAGCTATTTTATGCAAGGTAGTACCCACCCTTTCTTACAGGTCTACATTTTGATGGGACCAAACCTACCAGCCGCCCATTAATGGAGGGTGGGTAGGGTCAAGTCCGTTTTTTAAGTGACTTATGGATCTTTACAGGATATGGACGCATCACTCTTTTTTGAAAAAAACCCAGGAAACAACACGGGACTCGGAGCCAGCCAGCCAGCTGTTTGACAGAATGCCTAATAGCGATAGCAGCACAGAGGATACGACACGGAATGCCTGAAACATGAGATTAAAAAAACATCATCGAATCCTATAAGGACAAAATCACTGATATTGATTCACAACTTTTCACCGTAGTAAGTGGAAAAATATTTGGACAGAAAATCACTCCAAAGTCATTACACATGCCCTACATTGATTTCATTGTATTTTTCTTGCGTATTTCTCTGCTTTCAGAACCTTACCAGAATCCAACCTACATATGCAGCAGCAAATAGTATAACCTACCATATCGTGGAATTATATGATGTCGTTACTTCTAACTCAGTTAGCGACAACTTTTGAAACCTCTTAAATGAACCTCACATATTTCTGTTATATTATTATTATTAATTTGAAATATTAATTACTAATTACTTCTTACATGATTAGCACTAGTAAAGATGACACTATTAATTGATTTATAATAATTTATTATCTCATATTATAGTTTGTTACAGCATACTCAAAAATGTACAATGGTAACCCCATATTTATCATAGCATCCCTATTTCTCTCTCACTCTCTGCCTCTTGTTTTTCTCTCCCTGCTGTTGTGTTCTATTTTCACCACCACTTCTTTCATCTCTTATTGACCTTCCGTTATTTTCGCCCAGTTTCATTTCTGTGTTTTTTTGCGCGATCGCTGCTCTACTATGTCGAAACCTTTTCCATTCCGTATTTCTTTACCCCCGTCAACCCCTGTTTTCCTTCTTGTTCAAACGCACCTCATTTTAACATTCAGCCATTTGCTTTTTCGTTGAGTCGACCCTTTGAAGTTAGGCGATTTGACTACTGCGTTGTAGAACGGAGCGATGATCAGTAATAATAGTAAGTTACTCTCGTTCTTAGTGTAGAATTGGTTTGTCATTTTTCAACATCAATATTGGGATCCTGTTTATTTTCTTCCTAATTTCCACCATCTGTCCGTTACCTGTTATCGCCAGTATCCGTCCACTATTCTTTGTTACTTTTTGCAAGCTCGGTCTCATTTTTCTGCTTTTATTATTACTAGAATTATTTTCATATCATTATTCAGGCATCTCGGCTCGAAGCGTTTTTGCCTTTACCTCGTATTATCATAAGTTCTACCATTATTAGTATTATAATCATTATCGTATCTCTGCTTTAACTATTATGGTACACACAAATATACATAGCCTATTTCAAGTTTTGCTTCTGTCCCTAGCAGAAATTTGGGCTGCTTGCTTTCCAGGGTACTCTGCTGCCATCGGGTAGAGATTTGGCGGGAAATTTGAATGATGAATTCGAACGAATAGTATATGTACGTTTGTTGGATGTATATATCTCTTTAGCTACTTTTTGAATGAACCGTATTTTTGAGAGCCCGTCAACGACAATCAATCTATTTAGCTTCAGCGTTCGGGCCTCCTTATAGGATGAAATTACGTGTACTTCGCTTACATATGTATGTAAGGAGATGTTAATTTCCAGGTATTGTAGTTTGTTTACATATAAGTAAGCGTTTTGTGTTAGGCGAAGGCTAGATGTGAACCGAGTTCTATTATAGTTAATCTCGTTGCTATTGGTTAGCATAGCAGCCCAATCATGTAACAATAGCTATATATATATATATATATATATATATATACGTGTAGGTCCTCTATACGATATTCGGTCAGATCGCGTTCCGCCGTAGAACGAATCCATGTACGTATATGGAGGGAAGGGAACTAGAAGCGGCCCGCCCGTAGTTGACCAGCTCGGCTTGTGTTCACTTAAACACTCACCAGGATTCTTCCGCGATGTGGGTTTAGCAGCGAACGGCAATTAAAGGTTTATCTTTCTGCCCGCTGTGTCCCAGTTATCTTGGTATTTATTAGTAGGAGCCCGAGGTGCCGGGCTGGTCGAAGACCGCTATGGAGATCGGACGCAAGTTTTTGTTTCAAACTTGGTCCATTTCTATTTTGCAGTGCAAAAAATGACACCTGAGACTCACTCATTATCGTTTTGTATCGCATTTCTCTTTCTCTCTCGCTTTCTCTCATCATTATGATCATCTTCGCAGTTAACTGATCATCATCATAATTATTGATGTTTATCATCAGTGTGTCGCTATTATAATAATAATAATTATTAAATTCTTGTGTATTTTGCTTGACGTGCCTATTCCTCGTATTTTCTTTCTGTCGTTACATATATATAATATTTATATAATGTATGTGTATCCGTTTTCTCCATCCTCAGTTTCTATATATCTGCTCTGTATTCATCCATATTAATAATATTATCATCATCAGTCGCAGTATTGCACTCCATGGCTCGTGGTTCGCGGGTTCGCGTCACGTACGCCCCTTGGCGGAGTTGGCCACAACAACACAAACGTACACAAACGTGCATTTAGACCAACAAAAAATCTCGATCGTCTCCATTGTAATTATATAATTATTTTTATAGTGTAATTGGTAATTCCTTCTTGTTGCTTTCAGTTTTTGTCTGTTAATTAGCTTTTTAGGATTAGTCCACTCTCTTTCATGTTGCTGACAACATTCACGCTCCCTTAGGTGTGTCGTGGGTGTACTGCGGTCGATACGCGGGGGCGGTCATCAAACCCTTTTAATTCTGTATGATCACCACCTGGCCGTATATCAACCTTCGTGTAGAGAATGGGGCAGGGTTATGAGGGGTCTACAATGATATATTTTTTTCTTACCAAGCATCTACTAGCCACGGTAAACACGTCCACTACACTCACTAAAATCACCCCTAGATTCAGTATAGAGGCAATTATAGTGCTTGGTTTCCACTTTGTGTGTGTATGTGTTTATTGGGGGATATGAGAGGTACTCAGCGCATACGCACTCATCCACAAATAGATACGTTTCACATACGTTCTTCTTCACGGACATTTTCATTGATACGCATGCTGGCGCTCAATTTGCTCTCCATTCTCGCTAACGGTTTAGTTCGTTGACGACAACATATGAGAATTTCTTTCTGGAACGTATTCTCCACGTTGGTAGACGACGTGGATGAATGACCGCCTTGGCGAGGTCCGAAACTTCGGCCGAAACACGGAAATGTATCTTGCTGTCACTGATTCATTATGTGTTTGTTGGTATTGTTGTTTCTACGAACGTAAATAGATGTCGAAGTTCATCCACAACAGGAGCTAGTCGATTCGGTGGAAGTCGACTTATGCGTCAGTAATTCTACCTTAGTTTTCCTGTGCCGCATGGGAATGTTATGAAACTATTTGCCAGTACACATTATTTAGATGTTGTAGCATAACTTCCTTTTTAGTATTAACCCCTGGTTGTCTGCTAGACCTTCTAACGAAGTACGATTATAACTATTGTTGCTGCTGCTGTTGTTGTTGTTAACAAAAACAATTATTGTTCATTTGTGTTTGATAGCTGGTACTGATGTTGTTGATGCTGTTGCTATATCGACAATTCAGATCAGTCCCCGGCGGAAAAAAGGATGTCTTTCCCGTGGCTCCACCGGCGAACCACTATCATCATTGAACCATCTCGTTCGCTCGATCCTGTACGACGACAGGTATGATGTGAATATGAGGTTTCAATGAAAGTGATGCCTTTGGCCTCTGCTCGTTCGTCTCATCATATCTGATTTTCTTCGTTTTCACCATTGGATGATCTCCTTCTCGTAGTGTGAAAGTGACTACCTAACTAAGCTCGTTCCCAGCCAGAGCTGACCAGTCGGTCTTCACCACAACCCCTTCTTGAAGATGTTTTCTCGTCTTGGCGACGGATTCCGGCACAGCTGTCCTCGCACTGTTTGGCGCCATACGCGTTTGTCAAGTCTTCGTTGTTCGTTCGAATTTCCCGCCATTTCGCTCGCCTTTCAGCCGTATCAACGTGTTTGACAATGCCAGTTGATTTCACGTGTTACCCATTTTACTGTCGTCCCGCTATCGCTGTGGTCGGCATCGATGAACAAAGAGCGCCTGGGTGTCGGTGATTTCTTGATGATCCGCAGTTCAGATGTCTTTTATCCCTCTTCTATTTAGTGCTATATTGTAGACTATATAATTGTTTTCGCCCATAATTCTCTGCCATTGCAAAATTGTCAGCCAACAGCCGAATTTTCGCACGTTTGCTTCTCTTTGCTTTTTAATTCGATTCCGCCACGAGGTCCCTTTTCCAATATACCTTCGTTCTAAATCAGCTTCAACATTGTTTGGTGCCCCTTTAATTTCATTGTCCTTTTTATAAGATGAGGCAACACTTAACTAGTGCAGTATAATCAATCGGAGGAATCGATCTTCGCTCGCGACCCGCTCCGTACACACGTCGGTAAAAAGCTCTCTGTTAACGTTCTGCTTTTTCTTTCAGTTGTACGTTCTCTGTCGCCGTGTGACTGTTCGTATGCATTTTATCGTACGCTCCGCTTGTTTCGTTGCTATATACTGGAAGCCAGGTTATTTCGGTTCCGTTATGACGGTGCCAGGACGTCCTCGTCTTGTCATGTTTGGACGAAGCACATTTGGCCAGTCGCAAGCTTGTTGTTTTTATGCCACAGCGTCACTTCTTGTAACCTTACGTACCATCTCTACGTCATGAACGAAAAAACCACACAACTGCATATGCACTGCGCCAGACATGTTTGCCAACGTTTTCGTTCTAAGGTCGCCTCGGACGACCTACTGGTCAGAACTGACCGGTCGTTCACCGGTCGCCCGTTCCTGTCTTGCTGATGCTGTTGAGGTACACCTGTATCGTTATCACCTGCTATTGTTGTTCTCTGTTTTACAGTTGCTCTTCTCGTCGTTGTTGTCGCTGTTAGTATTATTGTTAGATGCGTACAACCACGTTAGTACATGACCACCGCTCGCATGGCACTAATAGTTACTTGTTGACCATTGGACCTTGTGCGACGCGGATCCTCCCATTGAATTGAGATTTCAACGTCACCCTCAATTCCTTTTCGATGTTGACGGTCCTTCAGTCGGCCTCCTGCTTGAGTGGCGTGCTAGCGGCGGCGACGGCGGCGTAATGTAACTGTTGACGCGGTTGCCGTTGGTCATGCTCGTGATGCTGCTGTTGTTGCTGGTGGTCGTGCGTCGGTGGCGTCGAAGCCTAGTTGGCGTGGATGTCCATGATGTGCTGGGCGGAGGCTGCGTCGTAGGGCGAGGGCGCACCGCCGGCCAGACCCGGATGATGGCCCATCATCATGGCTGCGGCGGTGGCGGCTGTAGCCGCCGGGTGCGGGTGTCCGGGCAGGAGCATCTGGTGAGAGTGGACGGGAGAGCGTAGCTGCGACATCGTGTGTGCCGAAGGCGGATAAGCGGCTCCGGGCGGCATTCCTGGCATACCCATGCTGCCCACACCGCCTACGGCCACTCCGACGCCCACTCCTCCCTCCTGGATGCCGGCGCGGTTCGACTGGTCGATCATCGGCTGCACAATGCGCCGCCTCGCGTTGATGAACCTATAGAGAGAGAGAGAGAGATAGACAGACCGATACCAGATAAATATTAAGGAAATGCTGCGTCATTTATGATACGTACGTGAACAATGACGGAACTTATGGTAGTCCGCTAAGTTACTAGGTCAGAGCACGTGTAATTCTACTCGTGTATATATATGTACGAAAAAGATAATATACTCGCGTCACCAGGGATGAGGACGGTGATGAACAGCATAAACGAGGGTGGCATAATGCGGAGCGTACGCGTCTCCTTACGTCTACCTTTGCTACTAGCAGATAAAAATTTTTGACAGAGCACGAACTAGCGCGGGATTTCATTTGACTTGTTCCTAGGCGATCGCAAGGGGCTGTGACTCTTCAAAGTGTAGGGGCGCTGTAATTGGACAGATCCCTTTGAGTCAACGTCCACTGCAGCCTAACGAATCTAAGCGGCTTTGCAGCTCGAAAGCCTGGACGAAGCTTCTGACTGCATAGCGGCCCGGGTTCCACACATCAATAAACACAGCCAAGCGTCCATACACTGAAGTGCGCGGCATACATTAAGGTACAAAGAACTGATGACGAAGGGATAATCAATCAACCTGGTAGTAATCTTTCATAAAAGAAACGGGCCACCAATTCATTCAGTAATTAATAGATATATTCGTGTTCGGCTACAGGCATTATTGGTCTTACGAAACAGTTTGGCCGATTGTCCATTAACAACTCGCTGAAAGCTCGGCAACGATATCACGTTTCTTGTGATCACCCCACGGAGAAAATGCGGGGTCCCTCCTGTAATCCGACTAAATCAGCCAAGCACCCCCCCCCCCCCAAAAAAAAAAAAATTCTAATGGTTCTGTAAAGCCTCGGTGGCTATAACATAGGCAATAATATATTTATCGATATAGGTGAACAGGTCTATTTGCGTAATTCTTTCCACTAAGTATGAAACAGGCAGACTCTTATGTGCGCCCCCATTTCGCACCCCCTATTTGCACTCTGTGACTTCATGACTCAACCCGCATATTGCATGAGCATGCGGTAACTTCTGCGATGTCAGACTATCTAAATGAATTAATTGTTCCCATGACCTTTTGACAAGCATGTCTGCGGCCGAACACTAGCCTATACTGCACATGATGGTCACTTCTTAACGACATTCTCATTCGCCTTCGAGTTAGCCCACCGTTCTGTATATTATCAGAGCGACCCACTACAGCCAGCCAGTCAGTCGTTAAATAAAAAGAAGCCGAGCTCAATTAAGAGTAAATAAACTTGCTTTTTCCCTCATCTGCTCTGTTTCCCTTGCTCTCTCTCTCTCTCTCTCTCTCTCTCGCTTCATCCCAAGTGTTTACGCATCGCTTTTAGTTACTCTCTGTCGTTGCGCTGTTTATAAGAAAGTGTTTGGCCACCGCTAGCTGTAGAGCACCTTGTTAGCGCGCGAAAGCATCGTCTCTACTAGCTAGGTTGTTGAAGACCCGGTGGTCGGTAGAACCGAAGCGTGTCTTGATTCTCGTTGCCTATCGGCCAATTGCTATCGCACTTTCCCGTAACGAATGTGCTTGTCATAAAACAAAGACAATACGACAAAAAAAACAACAGCTCGTAAAGCGCGGCCATCTCTGCTGGCTTCCGCAGTTTGCTCGCCAGCCCGTATTTCGGTCTATGGCAGGCGCGGATTACATGGTGGGCCGCTTCTGGCCAGCTTCTTCCTGGCATAGCGTCCGTCGTACAACGTGTCAACCAGGCTTTGTTCGGTGACTATTTGCCGTTCGGTGGTCCTTCACACCACCGGCCTAACGTAGAGTGTCTCCGTAGAAACTGCAACAGACCTATCAGTAGCCATAGTCATAGGACAACAACAATTGAAGTCTGTATTTCACTATAGGTGGAATCGAAACAACGACCCGAAGCAGCAAAGAGAGATCTACGAGAAAACGAGTACGCTGAACTATAGCGACAATCGAGGCGGCGATGGTGGCGGCCGCCTCAGCAACAGCTAAAGGACACTTTGAATGCTATGTGATATCATACCTGACAGCGAAGAGACCTGTAATAGCTAAGGAGTCATAAAACATTAGACTACGCTTACTGGGAACACAGAAAATATTTGTGTATACACATATCCACGTACAAATGTGTACAGATATCACGATATCATTTTAGGCAGAAATCAGCGAAGGGCAAGTAGAAAAGGATCGAATGTAAATAGATTTCGTTGACGTGGTGGCAGGGCATGGCGCATCTAGTAAACGTTGAAGCGCAAGGAAAACTGTCAACAAAGTGCCAGGGTTATGCTAGCTGAAAACGAATTTGTATGATATTTGTTCAGTTTGGGATAGGACAAATGTGGCTATCGTAAGTGCATATGAGTGGGAGAAGTTTACAGATGCAGACCAATACGACAAATAGTACGTATGCAGGATATTACCTGGTACAAGTGACCTATTATGATGTTAGGTCAGAATAGATAGGTGCACTAATGGCTAGCGACGACCCAACAGATATCTATGGATTTGAGACATATCATTCATCCTATAGGTATTACCAAAGACACAATTGAGCGTCCGATAGTATAGGTTTACATACCAATGTAATGCTTAATCGAACTTCTTACCCGATGACTTGTATAAACATGCATATTCACTGCACTGTTTGACGTAGTGTCTGCAGACGAGGGCTTTGAACTCGAGAAAAAAGAAGAGACTTCCTTTTTAGTATTAGTTCGAAAAAAATTGTCTCCACCTTTAGCGGCGCCAACATTGTTGGTTATGGTGAGAGTGGCAGAGGTGAAGCGATATCCTAGCTGGCAAAAAAAACATCGAAGTACTGCAATAGAACCTCTCTTTCTATTTCTCTCTATTCAGGATGCGCAGCTATATCTACATCTATATTTTCGGAAGCGTTCGCTTCACTCCGTCGTCGGTTGTAGACCTCGTCCCCTTCCGTCATAAGCAACTTTGTGTCGGTAACATTACCGCTTTCTCTACTTCACTTTTGGGGCTCGCGACAGCCAACGTATTGGTAAGTGAGAACACTGTTGGTGGCTTCATTGGACCGGGATACATTACTAAAGCTCCTTCTTCTACCTCCGTAATACTATTCCCTCAACGGCATCGCCTTTTTTATTTTCACTTAAGTTTCAAATCACCCCCGTAGGCAAATTGGCTAAACTCAGATACCTTTACCAAGTAATTTGAGTGGCTCCCTAGAATCAGACTAACTATTACAGCCATGCACATTGACTCTGCATGCATTTATGTGCCCTTTACTTACTGTAAAGTGATTGAAGTGTGGGTTACTTCGATATTGTGCTCGTTCTATCATGTGATCTCTGATCCGATGAAGGAAAGAAGCTGGCGTTTGCTGTCGCTATATGACTTTGCGTAAATGTCTATCAGTGAGTGTGCGTGAATCTAACGCCGAGTAGTCGTGCCTGACACCGGTTGGGCCGGCCGCTAGGACAGAAAGAACTACTCGAACCGCATTACTTGGGTAACGCCGAATGAAAGCAAGTGGGCACCGGGAATACTGGTTGTCTCGTTGGGCTTCCTTGATCCTTATATATGGCTCCCATGGGAGGCGTCGCGCTCCTCTGGTCACCAACGGACAGCTAGGCAGGCCAGCAGGCAGTGAGGGACCTACCGAGCGATCGATCGATCCTGCCCTTGCCTTTCTGTCTCTGTATACTGTAACCTACTACAGACGCACTTTGCTCTGCTATTTCATTGTCACACCGACCAAAACTGGCCAACAGCAAGGAGATTTATAGGCCGGATTTGCAACTAAATACCAAAACACCTACGTCGCCCACGATCGACTCCTGATATGCTCGCGCAGGCGAATCTATGTTTAGACTGAAGTATACCGCGCACACGAAGCCGTCACACAATAAAGCTATATCTACCTTGCCAACAAAAAACCCGAGTCACCCTTCTCTTTGACTTTACGCGGCTTGCAACGCGATAGCCGCGACCCATAGTCGCTCTCACAATGTCCCGTAATCCGTTATTCGAGCAAAGGATCAATTGTTGGATTAAATAGAGTAATGTGCATTGCATTTGCTAGCGTAGCTACACCGACGAAATCATCTACGTAGATTGTTGTCTATTGACTGCTGGAAAAACAACTTGAAAAATAAACTGTGCCATATTTAGATTGGGATGAATCCGTTGACAGTTATTCTAATTTTGGTGTAGCTGCGGTCGAATTCAAAATTCGAACACACTAAATAGCGTCTGAAGGTCCTATACAGGAAACGAAACGTTTGTGTAATCTTGTGTAGTTTATTTACGCGTCTGGTCGCATATACAACATGTGTGTGCGGAGATCCAGGGCACAAATCCACAAATACTGTCTTTTCCAGCTGAAAACCAGGTTCCTGCCTACCGTCACGCCAGCGACGGATCTTGTTTATAATGAGGCAAATACCTAGCAAGTAACTTCACCGTTCATGGCTCTGTGCTCACTGTCCAACCTCTTTTCTAATCGTCCTCCTTTTCTATGTGACGTATCTTCTTTTTCTCTATCTCTGTCATTCATTAGTGAAATTCTTTGGCAGTTGTGCAGCCACCCTGTTTTTGCCCCACACATTACACAGCTGTCGAACAACTGGATAAGCTGCCAATATGGCGGATGCTGCTGTGGGCACGGCCTAGGCTGTTAGATGTCCAGGCAGTACTAACGGAGGTACTGCCCACAAGCGAGCACAGGGACTGTCGTTAGGAAGCACAAGTCTCGCTTAGATACTTCAAATATTTATACCGTTCGCATAAAACTACGTAACTATTGTGCTGCACCCCGTCTTGCTACTGGTGCTGCCCCTACTGCGGAAGAGGTGTCACTTCTATTTAACTTAATGCACCCTTTTATCCACTAGCAGTACCGTAATGGCGACCCGAAAGACCACCCCCGGAGGTGAGCATTAGTCCCATGCCTTTAGTATGTAGAGAAGAAGAAGTTATAATGCAGCGAACCAAACGAAGAAACGAGGAACGAGATGGAAAGACCCCGATGCA